TGTGTGTGTGTGTGTGTGTACCGCCAGGAAGCAGGATCTGCAGCGGGAGGTGAATGTGGAGGACGACGACGAAAACAAGAAAACCCTTGTAAGTGTGATGAAGTATTTCCTGCAATCTCCCCGAGGCTCAGGAGAAGGACGACGTGGAGGAGAGCATCACACAAAGAAACCCCTCTTAGCTGGGAGGATACTTACCTCCCAAAGCTTACACATGGAACTGCACATATGCAGAGGCTGACGTGAAGGAGAACGAAGCGGAGAGAAGGACGACATGGAGTACAACAGAAGAAACACATGTAGGAGGAAGACACTGAAGGAAAACATAGGAAGGAAGGAATTTGGTTAAGCAGAACAGAAAGCGAAAACCCGAATTAATCAAGAGAACCAAATGAACCCACCATAGCCCCCAACGCCTTTTCCATCCCGCTTCTTTCTCCCTCGTCAGCAACGACATATTCCTACCCCTCCTCCCCCTTAGCTCACCCGCTGATAGAAAACCAAAGTAACATGTCGTATTCTCCTTTCTCATCCCTACTCTCTCTCTCTCTCTCTCTCTCTCTCTCTCTCTCTCTCTCTCTCTCTCCGGCGTGTTGGTGTGTTGGTGTGTGTGACACGAACATAGACATAAGCTGGTCGTCTGGTCTGAACAACCATGTTATTGAGAGATATCGGGAAAAAAAAAAAAATTCCCGCGGAGCTGTTCACTGTTCCTTCGACGAAAAAAGAAGGGTTCGACTCTTGGCGGCTTCCAACATCAATCAAATGGACCAGCACACTGCTGAGTTTCCCCCCAGACGGAGATTGCGACGGGATGTCTAAAGATGGAGGGTCGAGGCCAAAAGAGGTCGCAAGAGGAGGAGAAGCAAGGATAAGATGGCAGCTTACATCTTTTGCGCCGAGGTTCACTCCTCTCAATGACGGGGGCTGAAGAAGCTGGAGCTTAGGTCGCTTAGGTCGCTTAGGTCGCCATGGGGAAGAGAGATGGATAAGGCAGGTGCGGACACATATTGCGAGGATGTCGAAAGATGGGGAGTCGAGGGCAACAGGGGAGGAGGTGGAGGAGGAGAAAGGATAAGATCGCAATTTACCTGTCGCGCGTGGAGCTGTTCACCGCTCCGACGACGACGACGAAACGGAGAAGGTTCGATTCCTGGCGTCTGCCAACATCACTCTACAACAGCACACTGCTCACGTTTGCCCGCGGCCCTCTCTCCCTCCGTCTGAGTGTGTCGTCATATCCGCTGTACACAACTCCACAAAAAGAAGTATGACTGTCTGTGTAGCAAGCACAACACGCGGACCCACACACACACAGTCACACCCACACGCACGCACTAACGCACACAATCGTTGCCACTCGAGCTTGCACGCACGAACCAAAACCTTCATTTTTCCGAGCCTCTGACAGACCGGTACCGGCCTCTGGAAAAAAAATCGTGGTGGTACCAGACTGGTAACGGCCTCTGGAAAGGTAAACGTCGTTCATTTCAGCAATTCTCATTTTTGTGATTGCTGGCTGTTTCAACTTTTCATTTTCACTCTGGGTAGCGCTTTCCTGCCACTTTCCTCCCCCCTGAGTTCGCAGCCAGAGGCTGCGCTTGCCTGGGTTGCAAGGTTTTCTTTCCTGTTTGGGAAATGTCGTGGACTTAAAATGAGGTTCGGGGGGTGTTTTTGCGCTTTTGGGGGGGGCGGGAAGCGTGTGGTCGCGGCTAGGAGATGGACCCGGAGTGCTAGTGGTCGTCGCAGGCTTTGGGCAATTGGTCGGTTCATCAGGCTTGTGATGGGTGGCGACCACATTTCCTTTTCGGGTGGAGGGTTGAGTGTTTTTTGGGGGGCGGTCGGGTGTTTTTTTTTATTTTTTAATGCTTTTGGTCGTTCGATTCGTTCATGAAACAAGTGTGAATGATGAATGAGCGAATGGAAAATTGTTTGAATGAATTTGACCCGTGTCAGGCAAGTGGGTTCTTTTTTTTTGTCCTGTCTTTCTTGTCTTGATTGGCCGTCGTTTGTGTCGTTCCGTTTTACGGCACCGCTTCACGTTCTTTCTTTTTTTGTAAATAATTCTTTTAATTTTTTTTTTTCCTTTTTTTTTCGTCATTGTTGATCTTTTTTTTTTTGGCCTTGAGGGGGGGTTTTTTTTTTTTCAAGCGTGAACGTCACTTCAGGGAACAGGTTCACCTTCATGTTCATTTTGGTCGTCGACGAGTCTCGACTCTGGGCTTTTTTGGGGGGGGGGTAAGGGGTACGTAGGTTCAACTTTTTTTTTGTCGTCGAAAGCAAGCGGCTCGTCCATTTGTTTGTCGACGAGTCAACTTTGGCATTTTTTTTTGCTAGGCGGCTTGTCGATTTGATCGTCGACGAGTCCTCGACTCAGGCCTTTTTTTGGGCGGGGGTCGAAATCGAAAAAAAAAATCGAGACGGGTCATCGAGAAAAAAATATATATATTAATTTAAATTTAATTATTTATTATTTAATTCGTTCGTTTCATTCCACGAAACGAACATTCAAGCGCGAACGTCACCTCAGGGAACCGATTCACGTTCACGTTCATTTTGGTCGTCGACAAGTCTCGACTCTGGGCTTTTTTTGAGGGGGGGTAAAGGGTAGGTAGGTTCAACTTTTTTTTTGGCGTCGAAAGCAAGCGGCTAGTCGATTTGTTTGTCGACGAATCGACTTTGGTTTTTTTTTTGGCTAGGCGTGTAGTCGATTTGATCGTCGACAAGTCGTCGACTCAGGCCTTTTTGGGGGGGGGATCAAAATCGAGACGAGTCATCGACTCCGGCCTTTTTTGGGGGGGGCGAAATCGAGATCGAGAAAAGGGGTCTCGTTTTCTCGGCGAATGAAGCCTCAATCAAACGACTGAAGCCTGAACTTGATTGATTTGACTGTTCTTAGACAAGCGGGTCGTTCGATTTGGTCCTCTATCAGTCAACAGTCAAGTTTTTTTTTTTTTTTTTTTTTTTTCCCTTCTTTATCGGTTGTTTTTTTTCCTTTTTTTTTTTCTTTTTTTTTCCTTCTTTTTCTCTGTCGATAAACGAACGACTTTTTCTGTCGGTGAACGAACAATTGAATGAAGGCCCGGTTGAGGTTGTGAAGTATGACGTGACTCATTTTTCTTACTATAAGGTTCATGTCTACTTTTTTTAAAAGCTTATTTTTACTCCAAATTTCATTGGATATTTGAGACAATCAGTTGGTTATCAAACTTCGCTCATAAGCAAAACTCGTTGAGGCTGTCAGGATAACTCCATATGGAATTATAAAATCCCCGATCTCATTTCTATGACATTTTGTAATAAATGACACATGCTTTCCCCCCATTCCATAAACAATTGTTCAAGCTTGTAAAAAACACCACACCCCATCTTCCCTTATAGTTGAAAAAGTCCGCCATCCACTTTTTCTTGCATGAAATATAGTATACCTCGCTTCTATGCAAAGATAAACAAAAATAAATTCCTATTCTTATCAATGATTTTCGCCAATGACTTTCATATAAAACAAACAAAAATCCCCTGCTGCAACTTCTTTGCCCTGGCTGCGGCCCCGTGACTATAGTCTTTTTTTCTTTTTTCTTTTTTTTAATCTCAGCGGCCTTTCGACCCTTGAGGGGGTTTGGAATATAGCTTTCAACCTGCAATAGACGCTTGTTGGTTAGCCCTCACGGACTGCGCCATTGCCCCAAGCGCAAAGATGCCCCTGAGTCTTTACCTTTTTTTTTCTTTTTTTTTTCCACTGCCCGCCCCTGCCAGCTTGGGGATTCACTATGTCACGTGGCCGCCCGTGTTTTCGTAATGATGTGTGCGAAACACATGCACAGGGAAAGACTACGTACTGTACAGGAGGAAAGTCCGCATCTGAGTGAGGGCCTCGCCACATCACTGTCAAACCCGCATCTGAGTGAGGGTCTCGCCACATCACTGTCAAGCCCCAATCCGAGTGAGGGTCTTCCCACACCACTGTCGAAAGGCAAAAAAAATTGACGGTTGTCAGAATAAATTTGCCAACCCCCTTTTTACAGTTTGCCCCCCTTCAACCACACAGCACTGTAGAGTGAACGCACTTCTGAATGCAAGATGGAAAAAGACAAACGCGCCGGAGGGTACGACAAACATTAGTCCATCCTAGAACTAGGCCCCACTTGCACGAATTAAGAGATACTGACCGTAGATAGCAAAGATCAACGACCGAAATCTCCTAATTGGCGCAAGTGGGACCTTTCCCCCGACCTCACGCCCACTCACCAAATTTCGAAGAGAAGTCGATAGCGCAGCCGAGGACTGTAAAAATCATCAGAGTAGCATGTTGGGGATTCAACAACTTTTGACAGGAGGTGTCGAGAAGTATTCTCTGACAACTTGCGAATTTTCTTCCTTCTCCAATTTCTTTTTTTCATTTTTACTTTTCTTAAACCACTAGTACCTCCGCCAGTGTTGGGAAAATAGGGAAAAGTGGCAGTTTTTCCAAACTCCTAACACTTTGGAGGTCGGGCCCGACGATAGCTTCCATTGATAAATTTGATCGGCGGCTGTCATTTTGTTTCGGCCTCCGAAATGGTCGGAGGCCCACCCAAGGCCCGCTATTTTCCCACTCCGTAAAGGTACTACAGAAATATCATTATTATTCCAAATAGGCGGAAGCCGGGAAAACTTCCACAATTTTGGATTGGGAATGAGTATATCATGCCCGCGTAAGGACCGTCACGTAGGGTATGGCAGAATAATTTACCTTAGGTTCAACAAATAGTGTAGGGTAGGTAGGATTTTGTTAGGATAATGGTAGGGCAGGTAGTCGGAAGACCTGGACACTCAGTCTAAGTATTCACAGGAGGATGGTAGCAGAGGGATACAAGGATTGGAGGGAGTGCCAGGCTAACCGAAACTAGTTTTAGGTTCCACAACTTGTGTTAGATTCTCTTTTAGGACTACAAGTTCAGTAGTAACTAGCCTCTTGGACTCCATTTCCACTGGCCGTATTAGAACCCAGTACATGCAAGAGGCGACTATATAATAGTAGGTACTGGGTAGGTAAGGCAGTAGCTGTAGGGGTAACATGGGTAGGCCGCAGCTTCCGAGCTGCTGGGTCTATGCAATGCCCGCAGACATATGGCTTGTAAGCTAAGTTGGTTGATGCTTCCAGATACCTCTGGGAGCCAAGTCTCACAGACACCGTTGAGCCAGTTCAACGTTGAACTAACTCAACGAGTGTGACCCCACATGACGTCTAAGATGCATCGATAACTGCACATCCAACGGTTGTTCTTATGTGTATAAAATACAAAGACTTTTGTTTTTAATTTTTTGTTCAAGAAAGGTGCTGAAAAATCCCTCCGCCCGAATACAACGCCCCCTACCTTTCCCATCTTCCGTTAAACTACATACCCCACTTGGAGTGGGGTATGGGTTCAACGGTGCCTATGCCATCATTACCTTATGTGGAAGGACGCTCTGGCAGAGAGTGTTCATGTTGTGTTTGGCTGTGCAGCCCCAAACTCGTTTATGCAAATGCATCAAGCCAGTGGTACTGTCTACGTTCACTTCATATTCTAGTGAGTCCCCGTATCCGACATTGCGTAGTATGCGGAGCCGTTCACTGAGGATTGTTGTGTTTTCCATTTTACTTTTTAGAAAATACGGACAAAGTTTTCAGTAGGATTTGGTTATTCATTGTTTTTTGGAAAATAGGGGAATAAAAACTTTCGGCAGCATTTGATTCTCCTTTTTCACCTTTGTTTTGAGTTTTCAAGTCCCAGAAACCGTGTCACACCGTTGCTTTGAGCTAGTTCAACGGTGCATCTGTGACTTGGGCCCGGGTGTAATGTTGAGGTTCCCCGACCTCATTTTATAAGTAATGAAATCTGAAAAGTTCAGTTAAAAAAAAAAAATAAAAAAACTTTCACAGTAACAACATAGAAAAAACCAGATTTGGGACCATTACCCCGCTTAGGTGTAGGTCAGGGGGTATATCCGGCTGCAAAAAAGGTCAACTCTTGACCATTGCTCCGATATTTCCCCACCTTGGTACAACAATTGCCACCAGGGCCATTAAAAACAAACAAGCATAAAAGCATAAAACCGGAGGTAAGAAGAGGGACGTACTTGCTATTCTGACGTTCCGCAAAAAAAATTGACCTAGTCTACGCAGTCTAACCGAATACACGAGAATTATCAACATTCATTCGACCCTTCTACTCCTTTACTCAGTTTGTCCTTTCATTATTACCTATCCTATTCTCCCATCCTCCCATTGGCCTAACACTGCCAGAGGGGAGAACACATCCAACATCGGCGCTCCCTCCACCTCATTTCCCCCTGCCAGTCTCCTGTGACT